TTAGGAATAATTAACTGGCTGGAAGCAGGTTTCGCGCTGAGCTGCAAATTATAAAGATTATACTGGAGGAGTCGCGTTTGTTTTGGTTTTGTATGAATTATGTGGCGGTAGTTCATCCTTAAATCTTAATAACGAATACTGATTCTCAGCGCTTACAAAGTGATGTACAGTCTAGGGAAAGTGCAAGAGAGAGAACCCAGCCGCTTCGAACTAACGTAAGTAAGAAACCGTTTCTTAAACCCTTTTGTATTTTAATCAACTAAAAGCTTTCGACTTTTATTCGAAGGTACCTACATTTATCAGATGGATGTCGAATTAAAGTATCGTTATGAGTTTACAAGGACCACAATGTAACGTATGGAATTATATTAATAACTTCAAACATTTTCTTTTCACTTTTTGATTGAAGCTTCTACAGTAGCGAGGGCTTTTGCGGGTGAGTTTTATTGTAACAAAAGCAAGAACGAGGATAAGATCATCATGTAAGTATACTTAAACTATTTTGCTGCTATAAACGGTCTCGAATCTCTGAACGACAGACTCAAATCTCTCAATAAGTGGTGTCTCGATTGACATGGTTAAAATTTCAACATATTTCAGAGATTCCAGCCTTTCTACGAGATACTCGAGTCTCTCTATTTTTCAGTTTTATTCATTCAGTCTCTCTGTGAGGGACTCGAATCTCTGAATTAACAATTTTATCGTTCGAGTCTCTCATACAGAGACCGTGGGAGATCCATAAAAACACCTAGGCAATAACTGAGAGACTGTGAAAGACTGTGAGAGACGCTCTTACTTAAAAAAAACTTTTGGGTGTTTCATTCCCACCAGCCAGTAATTCTGGTGGGCGGGCAGTCCCTCCGGACTATGCCGGAGGGTAGAGCAGAAGGCCCTCTTCAGTCTGCTTTCAGGAATCGTGGGAATGGGTGGGTGGTGGTTCGGGTGGGAAAGTTGGGACGGACGAAATGAAGACAGAAGAAAATGAAAGATTATCTGTGGAATATTACTGCCCCAGCATTTGCCTAAGTGATCCAAGGAAACCACAGAAAAACTTGGACCAAGACAGGCGGACCCGGAATCGAACCGGCGGAAAAGTTTTGTCTAGGGAGTTAGTTGTAGCACAACAAATTTCAGAAAACAATTGTAACAATGTATGGATTCAATTAGGTCTTTGAATCAGTAATGGATCCATTATGAAGACAAAAAATGTTTTAGTCAGAAGTCATATATTTAATGACTGACTTCTAGTACAAAATTTTTTAAATGTAGTGATGAGTAAAATTGGTCTTCGTCTTGCAAGATTAATACATATGATAACCTATTCTTCTTGACAATCAAACTGGAATTTCAATATTTAATTCCTTATTCAATAGTGTAGTAACTTTTTTGAAATTTTTAAGGTTCTTCAATCAATGTCGATTTTCACTTCTCCCTAACTTATTCTAGATAAAAACGATTTAAAATTGCTACTATGTATGTTCTTTAGGATAATCGTACACCTCACATTTATAACATTGACTTTTTGACGTAAGCATTTTACACTTGACCTGTCACATCTGCTGTAAATTGCGGTTAATGCTACGAAACGCTCGCAATGTTCTTCCTATATATCACCCTTATCGAGGTTTCGCATGTATGCCACCACCATTGTCCAACGTTTCTTTCTATACGTATACATACGTGTGCATGTATACCTACTGATATGTACCTACTGCACACACATATGAGCAAAGATTAATGTTGAACGAAACGGTGGAATTAGCTGGCATATTTAATTGAGGAAAGCAGGGCTTCGGATATTTTTTTGTTCACGCAAAGCCTGAATTATACGCCATTTGAAACGTATTAAGGATAAATACCTCAGTAATTAATTAAAATAATCCTCAGATAGTTACAGTATAATTAATTGCGTTGTTACTGAATTTTACATCACAATCCATTATTATTTATTAGAGAAAATAGAGAGAAAAGTTTTGATTTCTGAATATCTGTTTCATTTTATATCTTGTTAGAGGTATTTACTTTTCGATGTTCGTTAATTGGGATTTGTTTTATCTGCAGGAAGTCAACACTCTCTATTTTAACATTTAGTTAATTCTTTGGTAATTTCGGATTCCCTGATTGAAAGCTTATTNTTGTCTTCCCTACCTCTGTTTCTGACACAGATATCAGTCTATTAAGTGTACAACTAACGACAATTCGGGACAATTTCGGGAACGATCACCTATTTAACACAGTACGGAACAATAGAAAGCCAAAATTAACTTCATCTGCCTTAACTGTCACCCCTGATTGAATCTGAAAAGAATGGGGATTACTTTTTGCTTACCTATTTAATGGAAACGTTATTTGTTTATTCGTTCGAAATTGCATTCAAATTCCAGATTTCCTTTTTCGACGATTTTTAACCAACAATTTCAATTTTAATCTGTTCTGTACGGCACACAGGCAAATCTACATATATGTTAACAAATCTCGGATCTAATAAGAAATGCGTTCTTATTGTTTTTTGATGTTGTCGAAAAAAAAAAACGAAGACTTCGTTAGGTGAATCAGCTGAAATGGGATGAAGTCACTTGACTAGTAACGTATATTGTAGATACTGGAAGCTCATAGAGGACAGTAAATTTATGGGCTTTCGATATCATTTCGAGTCCTGTGAAATATGTTTGGCAAACAATGGCGGTTTACCTACTTTGTGTGTGCTCATACGTTATACAGCTGAGTGACGGATTCGTCCACTTGAGTTAGTCCTAGTTTATGTGGATAACCGATAAGGGAATCTATTAAGGGGTAATTTATAATGCCCTGGCCCTAATCTCTTCTCTACAAGCCTTGTTACCGTCCTATAGAAACTTCACAACAATAAGGGGGAGACCGAATGAAAAATTTGTCACAATTTATCGCTAATAATATTTTGAATTATGTACCGTCTGTTCTAAATCAATTTTTTCTTTGCTTACTGTATCGGACATCCCATTTCCCACACGCCGATTAGTCTAAAATAATGTATGAAATTATACTACGTTCTTATCGTGTTTTAGATTGGTTTGTCCAGACCAAAAAAATATTTATCGATCGACATATTTTCAGTGGTTCTTAGTTACTATTAAGTTATTTTGTTAATTATCCTATATAAAGAGTCTAAGGAAAATAATAACATTCAGAACGTTTTGGTGTTCTACGTTACAGAAAGGGAGACCATTTAAAATGAGAATATGAACGAAGAAATGCATAAATGCATTTGTTAGTGGATTATGTCTCTCTTCCTTTACGTAGTTGTACCGAAAACCAAGTTAAATTTGACAGTTCGGCGGTATTTCGCCAATAAAGTTTTAGTGTCGACTTGCAAATCGCTGTTATAAAACATCTGCCATTTTAACTTTATTTCGACGGAAGCACTAAAATTTTGTCTAAACTACGAATAACAACATTAGTCTTTCTCATTCTATTCGTTTTTTGACAACCGCTCAAAACAGGAAACAGTAGAACTGATACAAGATGTTCAACGTCACAGGATTATGAAGGGTTATTTTTACTCTTTGAATTTCTATAACCAAAGGAACAAAACTCTTCCGGGTTTAAGATTCGAAGCAGAAAGAAAAATCCGTTTCCGAAGACTTCTGACACAACCTATTGATACCATTAACAGATTAATTTGCCAAACGAATGGCGTCCTTGGAAGTGTCGATTGAACCGAAAGGATCATCAATACATGTTGGAAGGTCGGGAGCAGGATCCATTTATAAATTGCCACGTATCATTCTTCCGCCAACAAACATAAACCTCAATGTGCCTCCGGTAATATCGAACTTTGACGGAAGGAGATGCGACAATTGACACCACGATTCGGTTAACTTGACGAATGCGTCGACAAAGGCACTCGATAATTTAATAAAAAATCAAAGAAGAAACAAAATTTGTACGACAACATTGATAGGTACGCCTAAGGCAGTATTCACTAATATTACAAAAAATTTCAAATGTTCTAAAGATGTTTTGTTCTAATAAAAGAAAGATGTTGGTTCAAATAGTTCAACTCATAAATCCACTGGAAGTAATAATTTTTCGTTTGGTCTTGCGCTTTTGGTATTGGTCTTGATTTTAGTCTTGGTCTTGTTTTCAGATTTCACATTTTCCCTTATTAAAAAATAAAATTTTCAGCAACGACGCCGTAGGGTTTATGCCGTATTTTTGATGGTTTATTTTCTTTTTTTTTTTTTCGATGGAAAAGTCACTAAACGTTCGTTCCCGAATAAGTTCCAATATTACTACTGCCGCCGGGTTTAAATGTACGAGCCAATATTCAACTGCGAAAATATTACAGTCCCCTTTCTATCAGTCCCTTTGACACTGCCATCACGACTGGAAGTGTAATTATGCACGAGCAGGACTCACAATCAGATATAAGAGAAATCGGGTGCGGTTTACGATTCAACGACGAAGTTGCTCACTACTGAATACGAAAAAATTTAAATTTAAAATGAAATGAAAAATGCACCTTTAATTAAAATAAAATACTTACATATATTTCGCTTTTCAATATCATTAATATAATCAATGAAAAAGCAATTTTAGTATTATTAAATTCGTCATTAATATAGTGTCCTTAGACAGTGTTTTTTACGTAAGTATGAGCTGTTAATAATCTTTTACGAATTTTCAAATTAAAGCCAACTCTGCTTTGCGTTATTCTTTAAAAGGATAATGTTAAGATTTTCTACCTAATCTTTTAATTTATATTTGTTTTTACTACGCTGGCATTATCTAAATGATGAAGTTCTTTTGAAGAAAGTGAAGGGGAACGTTGTGAAAAATACGCGTTATAATTTCAATTATCTAATGTTAGGGTTAGGCGCTGAGATTTATTGTTTTGTCTTGACAACGCAGCTGGAATTGTTTGTGAATGTTGCCCAAAATTAATAAGTCCTGAATGTATATAAAACGTATCTATATATACAAGGGATGAGAAAATTGATTAGCCCTTTTATAGAATGGAAGGAACAACAAAACAAGAAAAGGACCGTTTGTATTAGTTGAAAGTGTTTGTATTACTATCATTTCGAGATTTTTACGATTATTAGTTATCTCCAGTGCTTAAAAGATTACAATTTACCCATCAACGACTTGTGGAGTCATTCCAGAAGATTAAATATGTACTGAAGTAATCAATTATTGTGAATTACAATCTTTCGCTTGTACAGATCTTTTACATTTTACAATTACATGAATCCATTTTGTATAAACGAAAATTTAGTTTGAACTGTTTGAAGATACTAGGCATTCTGTACACGAACAATCACTTTCAATATTTATAAATTGTGATTCCGACGAAGGCGGCATCCAAGAACTGCTATTACAAGTATCTTCGAGGTCTTCTAATGATTCAAACAGCTTGCTAGAACGTTTGGGATTATTATCTCTCAAATTGCCTCTTTCTGCAATCAGGAATTGAGATCCCCACGAAGGAGGTATCCGAGTACTGGTGCTACAAGAACTCGTGATATCTCCCAACGGTTCGAATAAATTATTATAAGACCGTTTGGCATTATCCGTCAAATTTCGACTTTCGGCAATCAAGGACTGCGATCTCCACGACGTACTGCTTACAAAAGATGATTCAAACAGATTGCTAGACGGTTTTGTACGATCGCTTAAATTTCCTAAAGTCTTGAAAATGTTTCTTATTGCTGATTTCGCCTTGGGTTTACTCTTATCAATCCTTATCGAAGCTTGAAGTCATAGAAATCGTAAGCACAATAGCTCTATAGATGAACTCATAATAGCATAGTTTACCTTTGTTTGGCATATTAGACCACAATTGCAAAGGCTCACTGGACATGGCGAAATAAAGTTGAGTACCAAAATTAGGAATTTCTTGGACGGAAGCGTACTGTTTGAGATCTGGAGAGTACTCGATGTGATAAGGCGGACGGATTGCATCTAAAGTTGATAAGCTACCTACATCTTCTTTTAATATCCTTTTTACTATATCTGGTAACTAATATCGATGAGTATTTTAAGGCAGGAAATGTCGATAATTATTAAAATTACCTTTGCGTCTCCTATGTATTGTTCTAATGTTTGTAAGTCTGTTGGATCTTTAGAAAAAGGACCTAGCAATCGTTCTTTTTGTAGAATGACCAAAAGGAGTTTCATAAAATCAATTCTTGTTCTGAGAGGAGCAAACGATTCATTTTGTAGTTTTGTAATCCACGAAGAAGCAAAAATTCTGTCTAAAATTGGCTCTTTTATATGATTCCCTTTCCATAGGGCTTCTTACCTTTTGGCTTTTTTAAAAAACAGACCAATGATTTTGCAAACTGCATATAAAATTTTAGTTCTTCGTTCGAACCCAATGTGATCATTTCTTTTTAAATAATTGACTTTTTATGTAATTTAGGTTAATTTTGTGACAAATAAAACGCATTTTGTACACTCAATGATGCATAAATATTTAAAAGTTCTCTATGATCTTAAAATATTTAAGAACAACCGGCAAATTAACGTATTTAAATATCTTATTATTTAAATTTTAAAGTGAAAATCCATTTTCAATTTTTATCCACTCAAGTTAATAGGAAAAAAATTGTTGATTTTGTCACACACTCGCCGAGAATCGAACTCGGGACCTTTGGCTTTAGGCACCAATGCTCTGATCACTAAGCTACGAAAAGTGATAATTAGTTGCTGTTGTCATCTCTCGCAGTGGTAGTAGTAGTAGTAGGCAACATAAAGCCAAAGGTCCCAGGTTCGATTCCCGACGAGGGTGTGACAACAGCAACAATTCGGGTAATTTATAGTGGATAAAAATTGAAAATGGATTTTCCCTTTAATATTTAGTATTAATCATTATTGAACGTCAAATTGTTTCATAAAGTATTTTATTATTTATCGTCTTTACAATACACCAAAAAAGGATGCAAATGGAGAGTATTTATTAATTATTTGACACAGCAGAAACGATGACTACTGTAATTTTTTTATAAAGTTGCACATCTTGATTGGGTCAGATTATTTCCAGTACCTAAGGGTCGAGCTGATTTTATCTTCGCCACTTTCAGAACGTTCTCGTTGCAGCCGATCTTTGCGACGATCGCAAGTATCCTGTGGCGGTTCCTGAACAGAAGTGGGAGTTGAATAGCTTTCAACTGATACTGATTTACGAACATTGCTCAGGGGATTTTCAAATGTTAATCTGGGCGGATGGGTTAACCCAGGAAGGCCCGGTAACTGATACGATTTCAAACCGCTTCTTATGAAAGACTTTGAACCACATCCGTCATCCAGTTTGCTACCACAAGTGGAATTTCGCGAAAATAAATTAAAGAAGGAAGATTTGTTTTCAGAACCTTCTTTACAACTCTTGTGACCCTTTGACGAGCAACATCCCCCTTGCGTCGAAGGTCTTTTTTCGGAACATCTGGACGGTTTCGATTGTCTAGGACAACTGTGATGCTTGGGGCATGGGGCACTTCCTGGTCTCGCGTAGAGGACTTCTGTGGAACACGGGTCCGGTGGTCGACGTTGCCGACATGAACTTTGCGAACTATCAGAACACGTTTCTTCCATTAGTTTCGAAAGTCCAGGGCAACAAAGATTTTCAGGGTAATGCATCCTGGTTATTTTCAGAGGCAACGGTGAGTCGGACACTCGTGTAAGATTGGAACCCCATATTATGGGTTTCCTTATATCCCTGCTGCACAACATGTTCACGTCGGATGCCTCAACTATTGTTTTCAAACGTAAATATTAATTTCAAAATGTTTAGTTAGGGAGTTAGAGAGGCCTTACATTCGATACTTTTCTCTGCATTTTTACAAATAACTGCAGAGGCCGCTAACGATCTTGCAGATCTTGGTTTGATGGGTCTTACACGACGTTCTCCGATTTCTGCATCAGGTATAGCAAGAGTGGGTCTACTAGCGAGAGACTGTTCTGTGGTAAGTAAAAAATTATGAAAATAAAGAACCCCATGAATTATATTGTAGCGAGCACGAGTGTGTTTGTGTGCGATCGGGCACACGTGTGCGTGAACGGCTTATCGATTCACCTTTCTTCATGTGCGCCGTATTTGTAAATGTGTGTGTCGTATCTGCGTTCTGGCAAAGCAGTTAAACAGTTCAAAGAAAAAATAAACGATCCGGATGTTTCTAGAAGGTTCCCGAAAGTAAACAAAAGAGTATTTAAAGGAAGAGACGATCGCCGTAAGGGAGTAGAAATAAATTGACCGTTGCAGAAGTGAATCGAGAAATAAATTGACAGTGATAGCAGTGAAATAAATAGCGCAGTGAATAGTGATATATCAACAGTAGTGTAAATATATAGAATAATTCATCACCTAAGTTTAGTAATAATTTAATAGTGTTTTTAAGTTCTTTGAGAATTAGTGTAAATAAATAGTTTTGTCGTTATCAGTCTTAGAAGTTAATTTTTGTTAAACCCACGAACATGACAATATTTATGGCATTTACCTCTCGGTACTGCTCCTTTATTTGCGTGATACCATAGTCCTATGGGCTCCTTAGAAATTGCATAATAAACATGCGCCCCAAATAAAGGAATTTCTTGGTAAGACACGTACTCCAACATATTCGATGAATATTCAACCATATAGGGGGGATATTTACTGCATTCGCCCAATTCTTCTGTTTCAATGTCTAGCAATTCTTTCGCTACATCTTGCAACTGCCTTGAGGCTAATTTATTGCACAACATTCAAATCATAAATGCTACAACTTACGCTTTGGCAATCGGGAAAATCTAGCAATGGACATGTTTCCGGGTTTACGGCAAATGGACCTGTCAGTGTCCTTCTTTGCAAGGCGAGCAGGAGCAGTTTTAAGTAATCCGTTCTCGTTTTAAGGGACCCGAAGCTATTGTCGCGGAGCTTCTGCAACCATTTTGCAGCCATAATCCTATCTATTGAATATCAGACTAAGCAAACTATATTCACACACTCGACGTGTTTAATCCTAAATAATTACCCTTAGGGATTACAAGAGTCAGTATCAGAGACTTGGCGCATTTTGAATAGAGCTCAAACACTTGATTCTGTCCTGGACTGGTCATACTGAACTTTGAAAATGCTTCACCGTAATTTTGCTTCTTGACGTATGTCCATAATGAATTACACAACGTGTCAGATTCGTAAAAAAGTCTCGGTTAACACAATTGACGTACGCACGACGTCAGTCGAATACATTGACAGCGAAATAAAACTTTTCGTTCAGAGGACATCATAAAAAGAGAACGACGCCTTTTAAAGGAATAATGGCGGGTCTTACGTGTACGGAAGGTATATTTGAGATTTTTCAAGGGACAGAATAGAGGCCAATAGGCCGCAGAGAGCTGAAAGGAATTTTCCCATTGAATGGAGACACGTAGGACCAAATTGAACTGGCTTCCGTCTGTTAATAAAACTCGTCCACGCACGATAGAAACGACCGAATTTTATCGACATGTTCTAACACATTATCGGAACATAATGAACCTGAAAGTCCAGTGTGGTAAATTATCATGGACCACAAATATGGGGACTATTTCGTGTGGATAAACCGTAATAGTTATGAGATAGACGTCTCCAGGAACACCTTTTAATTTCACGATTAAGACATGTACATATTATATGGAATTTTTACGTTTCCAATAAGAACAAAGAGACAAAATTATTGTTTCCTTTATTTGTGGGATTTGACCTTTAAAAATTGTAGGTATTGTAGGTTATTATATGAGGAATTAACCTATTTCTTTTATTATAACCTTCTCTCTTTTTCAAAATTCTACAAGACACATGTTTCTTTGGAGATACAGTGGAATTCGTTTATTATGACACCGCTTATATTCACTAACCGCTTAATATAAAGTAATTGCAGTGTTTGGTTTTCATATTAAATTCACTATAGGAAAGTTAGGATATAATGACTTCGTTTAAAATGACATGTCGTTTGTTACGACTGATTCTCAAGAAATCATATCCGGCTATAGTGACCCAAATGATTAATAATAACATTTTCGCTCATTTTTCTGACCCTTCTTATGTATATTGATATTACGATTCATCGTTCTTTTTCCTTTTTTGTTAATAAATACATACAGTCTGTAGTTTTTCTCTCTATTAATCTAAATAAATAACCAAAATAGAAAGTTGTGTATTTTCTAAGACTATGCCTTGTATGACGCCCGTTTAGTATGACGTATTTGTCATTTCCCTTCGATATCATTATAAGCAGATTCTACTGCATTTTATTATTCCAGACAAACTTATCGCTAAATTAAATGGATACCCTTACTGAACAATTGAGGGTTGGTTGGCACATTCGTGACCAATTTTTTCCCTTAATTTCTTCAAAACTAACAAACGTACATACGTCTATTAGTTTCTATTCAATTTAAACCGACGGCGACGGCAACGTTAGACAATTTTTGTCATCTTATTTTCCTCTCGCAATGGAAAATTCAGGATGCGACGTAGCAGAGTGGTGCTTCTGTCGTTGATGCTTCTGTTGTTCCTTCCTAGTCTTGCGGTTTCATTTATTCAGTTATTCAAGTGAGCAAGTCGTGGTACCGACAGTTTTGCAGTCGTCCAAACAATTCGGACGAATTGAGGACCGTGGAGAATAAATTAATTCCAGTCGAAAATCGCCCCGGCATACGGATTGCTGATCAATAAGTTCATTTAATAAAGAAGCATAGCAGCACCGCACCTGCAATGCCACGAATGGAATCCGGGATTGCCGCAGAATGCGGCTACCGACGGACGTTGCTATCTCCGACGTTTCGACGCGGTTAATGCAACCGCCGTCGTGAAATAATGCATAGAGGGCAACCTCTCGCCAACGGAATCCGATTGGAATTTTTACGATTTTAGGGTTAATAACGAACGGTTCGGATAATTCAAAAAAGGCAGCATTTTTTCGAATTGACATTTGCAAATTGCACAGTTGCAAAAATATTCATACAAATACGTACCTATCTACCAAAAAAAGCAGGTTAGGTGTATGTGGGACGAAATGTAATGTATGAGACTCATTTATTTTGAGTTATGAATTGTATGCCGTCGAATGTGGATACGTATAACTGGAATTTTCGAAGAAAGGTACACATGTACATAAGTCAATTTCTTTAATACAAACATTGCATACATAGGTATATGCAATATCTACAACGTTTTCATATCGAAACAGCACGAATGTTTCTATAAAAGAATGAAAATATGTAGATACCTGCATGCAAAGTTGAGTTAGGTGGAATGCTACTGTTATAAATCATCATCATCATAAGGTCGTCAGTCCTAAGACTGGTTCGATACGCACCTTCACTCTTTCCTATTTTGAGCTAATCTTCGCATTTCCCTAAAACTAGAACAACCCACATCCTTAACTATTTGCGAACAGTAATCTAATCTAGGTCTACCTCTACCCTTCCTAACACCTGTTTCTGCCTCTAATATGTCTCTGACTAGACCTTCATGTCTAAGAAGGTGTCCTACCAACCTATCTCGCCTATTTTTTATTGACTTCCATA